AGGGTGGAGCAGGGAGTGTGGGAAACCACATGGCCCAGGGAGGCAGAACCAGCCTGCGCAAAACTCTGCGTGCTGCGGAAACTGTGCAGGTTGCTTGCGGTGATGTGTGAGTCCAGATTGTCTGCTGTCTGAACCCAGACATTTAACAAAGCCAACCCAAGACAGTTGCTGCCAGAGGAAACGGGCAGGAAGCAGCTGGGTTTAATTGAAGTTTTCCTTTGCTAGCGTCTCCCCTCTGCTTCCCACTGCCTGGTAGCTCTTGGGTCAGGTGGACACCGCAATGCGTACTGGTAGGGCCGGCTCCATGGCCACCCACAGAGTGAGCATCTCACTAGGATATATTTTTCAAGTTTCTGCTTTGGGACTCCAGACAGGTTCCTTTCCAACTGCCATTTGCTCTTTTTCATGATCATCATGATCATTGTTGTTGTTGTTGTTGTTGTTATTATTATTATTATTATTATTATTATTATTATTATTCCATCAAATAGTAGCTGTCTTTTTGTAAGACAGTGTTAATTTCAGTGATGTATTGTTTAGGGCTGAAAGCCCAAGAGACAACATACTGAGTAAAATTACAAATTAATGAATTTGAATTACAAATTAATGACTTGATGAATGACTTATTTTCTGATGCCCAGTTGAGAATTTTTCAGCAATTTGCACAACCATCACGACTCTGTCAAGGATCTGAAGCAAGCAGGGTCGTTTCAGGACTGGAATGTCCCATATTGTGTCCTTCAAAATCCAGCTGTGCGGGGAGGGGGATTTTGGCCAGGGCTGTGTTGTGTGGGGAAATTTGCCCCACTTCCCGTTCTGATGGCTGCCTTAGTTCTACTCCCCAAGGCCAAAACTATGCCGTATGGTCTCCTTCCATGGCAGAAAGCTGTGGGCAAAAGGCTGGGTGGAGGATTTAATTTAGGAAAAGACCTAACCACCCCGCCTCACTCTTCTGACCTAGACGAACCCAACAGCTCTGCACTTATGAAGTTGCTGTTGTTATATTACCACCTTTCCTCTTCTTCTAACGGACCCAAGGCAGCTTTCAAAGTTCTCCTCTCATTGTGTCCTCACACTGTGGCGGTGTTGCTTCCTTCCCCTGCCTCCTTCCCTTGCATTTCTCCTGCAGCGTGGAAGGAGCATCCTCTCTTTGATGCCCACCTCTGAGAGCTGGTGCAGGAAGAGCTGGGATGCCTCTGCTAGCGCTGACAGATTGGGCATCTGCCAGCCCCTCTCTGGGCCTGATTGCTAGTTCTGGGGCTTGCCCCACGATCTGTTGCATTGTCCAAGTCTGGGTGACACAACAAGCCATCATGGTAGGAAGAAACCCTAGAACAGGTAGATGGCTGTCTCTTATCGTAGTTTCAACCATGATTGGGTTCAGACGATACAACAAGCAACAGGGTTTCTAAATTATCTTTGCTTGTCACGATCTGCAAACCCAGTTACTATGTTCAGTAGGACTTGTTCCCTCCATAATGAATTTAGGATGCCAAATGTAACCATGATGGAGAACATTTCATTGGATTACACTTCCTGTTATAGGTGGGGTTATTCTTTTAATTGTATTTACAATTGTATGTATTTATACCCCTGATCTTCTCATTTCATAAGAGCTGAGCTGGCGGTCAAGGACAGGGACTTGTGAGGCCTTCACTTGGAGGGCGCCATGTGTTGTCGATGTTGTTATGTGCCATCAAGTCATCGCCAGCAACTGTCATCTCTGCACAGTGTACATCAGAAGGTTCACAATGAAATAAAACCATTTAAAAAGAATAGTATAGAAAAGTTATCCATATGTTCACCTCATCTGGTTGTATTTTATATGCTCTGTGAACTGTCCAGAGAGCTTTGGCTATTCAGCAGTATAGAAATAAAACAAAGGATAATAAAACAATAATCATGAAGGCAATTTGGCACAAATACTGCTGCAAAACCCATGCAGTGCCTTGTTTCCAGACTGTGAGATAACTGCACTTTCTGCTTGGATAGCAACCGAGCTCTTCCTTGTCCTTCCTGAGATCGGTGAAACCCCCACTGCAAGCCGGTATTCGGGGAGTCCTCTGAAGCCCAATCAATATCATTTCGGGGAGTGTGGATCCAATAGATAAGGATGAACAGACAGTACGTGAGGGATTGCAGCCTTAACTGCCTGCATGGCTGTGAAAGAACAAGAGAAAATTGTTGGAGGAAATCTAACAGGGCGAATTTCTCCCCCCGGGAATGGTGTACAGCCACTTGAGGCCGCAGGACCTTACAGAAGAGGTACAGGGCAGCCCTGATTGCAGGATGTTACCCCTTTCTCCATATGACCAGGATGCTACCAGAGGTGGGAAGGCATCTTGGAATTATCCAACTTCTTAATATTCCTGGGCAATGTTTCTTCCTACCATCCTAATAAAAAATGCACTCCGAACAAACATATTTCCTACCTTGTATCCATGGGCTTGTGATGTTTGTTTGCATTTATATAAATTTATATCTGTTTGTCAGATAAATAAAACACACCAAAGAGTCTGCAAACAATGCTGCAGCAGCTGAGAGAAATGATAGCATGAAAGTAAAACAATATGAAACTATAAATCTACGGTGAGAAGAACACGTTTATTTTGTAAAGCACTGTGGGAAGATGTTTCTAACAGACATATAGAGCAATCATCAGTAGCCTTGGATGGTTTTATCCTCCAGGAATGTGTCTGATTCACGAGAGCTAGTATGGTGTGGTGGTGAAGGACTGAGGACCTAGGAGATCCGGGTTCAGGTCCCTACTCCGCCAGGAAGCTTGCTAGGTGACTCTGGGCCAATCACAGACTCTCAGCCTAACCTACCTCACAGGGCTGTTGTTGGGAGGATAAAGCGTGTCTATGTAAGCCACTCTGACTTCCTCACGAGAGGAAAAGATGCAGGCTATACATGCAATGTAATAAATAATAATAATAGCAATCTCCTTTTAAAGGTGGCCTTCACTGCCCACATTCATGATGCCACCACTTTGGTAAAGTTGAACAGGGTTAGCTGTGGTCCGTGCCTAAACAGGAGACTGGCGGGGAACCTGCTCTGCATCCCTTGATTTCCACGAGGGAAGAAATGTACTAAGTGGGACTGTGTGTGTGTGTGTGTGTGTGTGTGTGTGTGTGTGTGTGTGTCTGCCTATCCTGTATCTCAGAAGGTGCTTCTGTCCACAGATCCAATTTCTGTTAGACACCCAGAACAGAATCTGACATAAAAAGAAGACAGTCTCCAAATGAGTAAGCTCTGCTCGCAGGCTTCGCTGAGTTCTAATCCAGGAAAGGTTTTCATTGATTAATGCTAACAATGACATTGACTAGGGCGGCGAGAGGATGCATACTTACCCAGCATTAGCCCGGCTCAGCAAATCATCCACGCCACTCGGGCTGCGGTTTAAACCTCGCAACACCGGTGTGAATTGCACGGGAAACGGGCATCGGGAGGGGGAGCTGGAGCTTGCGCGAAGAACACGTCGGCGCCTGTTTTTCCTGCGATCGGTCAGAGAACCGGGCGGGTGGTGGGAAGGGCATCTTTCGGCTGCAAGTCCTGCTTGGTTTAATTTAGGCTTAATGGAGGTTGCGTAAAGGTTACCTAAGGGCTGAATGAGATTAAGACCACCCAGGATGGTCTTAATCGAGCCCGGGAGACGTGCTGAGTAAGGATTCCCTAAAACTAAGCTGGTGAAATGGGGAATGAGGATTTATGTATGAGCCTATTAAGGATTATAGACATCTGCATCTTTTTAAGTTGGAAGACATTGAGATAAACTGGTGGGTCGTACCATATTCATTTGTTTGTTGTCTTTTTAATGAACACACACACACATCAGAAACAGAGCTAATTTGCATGGTCATTGCCGTTTGATGTTCTTCCATATATAATGACTACAGTCGTTAGGCAGAATCCATTGAATAGTTCCGACTGGCTTCCGATGCAAGCAATGGAATAGGTCTTTCTTTTGCATAAAGGCTGGTTTGCATGTGCTCATTGATCACTTGCCATTTTCAGGCTGCTAGTGGTAACTAACAGGCGTGAACGAGTCCCTGCCATTCAAAACCCTACAGGTTGAACACTCCTGCCTGTTCTCTTTGCATTGTTCATTAGATGATGTTTGTGCATTTGGCTGCAAGCCAGACAAGGTCTCGTAATCCACGAGAACGTTTTGCAGATTCATCTCAACAGGGCAATTGATTAGGGCCACCATCCTAGGTGAACATAGAATCAGTCAGAAGGGGTCTCCTGGGCCATCTAGTCTGACCCCCGGCTCCAGCCGGCTCTGCTCATGAGATGCCTACCATGAAGAAGCTTGGATGGATTGCGCACAGGCAGGACACGCAGTGTGCCAGGCTGTGGGACGACGCCATCACATGTGCTGGGTGGTTATGTAGCAGGACATGCGCAGTTGCCGCCCCACCTGGTGTCTGGGGCCCAAGTACACACTGTGCCGCTCGCAGTGTGGAACAGAGCAGTGCGCACTATTTGTGAAATGTGAGAGCCAGTGTGGGGTGGTGGTTAAGAGTGTAGGACTGGGACTCAGGCGGTCCGGGTTCGAGTCCCCGCTCGGCCATGGAGCCAGCTGGGTGACTTTGGGCCAGCCACAGACTCTCAGCCCAGCCTACCTCACAGGGTTGTTGTTGTGGGGATGAGATGGAGGAGGAGAGAGATGTAAGCTGCCTTGAGCCCTTTGCAGGAAAAAGGGCAGGATATCAATCTGAAGAAAACAATGTGTTGGATGTGCTTCCCGGTGAAAGGACAATCCTGAGAGTGTCCCTCTCGGGGCGGCCTCAGCTGCTGCCTCTGGGAAATGGGCATGCCGAAGGAGTGGGGGGGGGGTCGAATGACGAGCGCCGCTCCCAGCCAGCAGGCGCACGGCGTGGCCGGAGCGTTCTGTGCCCTCTGACCCGCCTCTGCGGAGGTCGGCGGCTGAGAGAGCCCCGCAGGGCGTCCGCGTCCCCGGCGGCCCTCTGACCAGCGCTCTGCCTTGCCTTCAGGCACGCCTTTTCAGCGGTCTCAGCATCCTCATGCTACCTCCTGCCGGCACTTCCACCTGGGCCCCCAGCCTCAGCTCTCCGCGGACTTCCCCCTGCCTCACGCCGTCCAGCCTCACATGGCGCCTCCTCACCAGCACAGCGGCCCGCTGCACCCGCCCCTGCCGCCTCTGCCCGCCCTGCCGTTCCAGGACGTGACGGGACCCTCCTTCCTACCTCAGGCCCTCCACCAGCAATACCTCCTCCAGCAGCAGCTCCTCGAAGCCCAGCACCGCCGACTCATGCCTCACCCCAGGTGAGCTCCCGCCCGCCCCAGGCGACCAGGCATCCGTGCCCCGACCCGGTGGCCCTCCGCCTGCCAGCAGGGCGGGCCTCCTTCAGGCCTCGTAAAATATTGGGGCGGCCTCCTGACATGCTGGGTGGCCATTCGCATTGCCCCAGCCCCAGAGCGAATGCAGTCAAGGAGGGTGCCTTCCAAAGCATTAATCCGAGTGGCTGTCGCTGTAAGACGTCCAGGCCAGTTGTGAGCCTCTGGGCCACACCCCATTCTTCCGTGTGTAATCTTTTTCAAGGAAGGTCATTTATGCCTGCGCAAGGCTCTCTTTCCTGCATGCCTGCTGGATAAAGCAGCCCCATCCAGGAGAGGCGACCAGCAGGACTTGCTTTGGCGAGGGTGGGCAACAGGCAAAAAAACCAAGCTGGTCCCTCAAGTGGGAAGGCCTGCACCATGGTGGCCCCAGGAGCCCAGGTACCCTGGGCAAGACTGCCGTCCTGCAGCTCAGCCCCTGCACCCAGCCCCCTTCCTGCTTCCCCTGCTCTCTCGTTCCTACTGCTAAGGTGGCAGCAACAATGGGGAAGTTTAATTTCTGTTTTTAGAAAAGATTTTCGAGCCGAGCCCAGGTGCACCATGGCCCTCTCCCCCTATTCTGCTGTTCCCCAGGGTGCAGCTTCGCTCCACAATGTGTCAGACCTCTTGCATTGTTTTAAAGCAAGCAAGCAAGCAGCTGTGCAGCCCTTTATTTGTTTATTTAAAACTTTAATGTGCCAGCCACTACTGAGGTCTCGGGATGGTCTTACGATAGAGAACGGAGCACAGCATCCAAATTGCTCTTCCATACAATAAAACCCCACATTAAAATCAGGCTCAAACCTTAAAATAATGGGAAAATAAAAAGGTTTTAGCCTGACGATGAAGGAATAAACTTGCGTACCACAATCTGTCCCTAACCGTACCACTGTGTACACATACCGGGGATTAGCATGCCTTGCGCTCGGGTACGCTGCCCTTGAGCATCAAGGAGACATGTGGGCAGGTCCCCAGAGGGATGTAGAATCCTAGAGTCGCAGCCTGTTTGGTTTTACCCACCAAGTTGGTTCTTATCTATTCTGCACATTCTCTTGTTGGGAGAGTGTTGCCTGCAGGTCCCCACAAAGCTCTATGCAGACAACGGATTGAGAGCTCATGGCACAGAAGCACCTGGGGCAGTGGGCCGCACCTGAGTGTTTTCAGTCGGGACAGCCTGTGCTTCCACAAACTGTGCACTGTGCATAGGCTTGCCCATTTGTTCGAGCTTTGCATTTTTTCAGTATTCCGCATCGGCAGATGGAGTCATTGATCGCACAGTTCACATGTGCAGAAGCTCAGTTTCTATGCCCTCCTGCTCATATCTTGGTCCTGATGCCCGAGGTCAGTGAAAAGCACAGGGGTCGTGACCTCATCCCCAGGCCGGCCAGTACCCAGCACAGGAGTTTGATGGGCCAACCCCCCCAGTCTACTTCCTAATGGGTAGGACCTGCAGTGCCTTACTTATAGCCCTCCTGGCTGAAGGAGACAGCCCTGTCCTCATCTTCTAAAGGCTCAGGTGATGGGTCTTTAGAGAACCTCCATCTCCCCTGCCTTGCTGAAGTTTCAAGCTACACAATTAGGTGAAGGCACTTTAAATAGTCCAATCAGCTCCCCAGAGGGGCAGAGAGTACCACTCTAAGGACTTGTCTGCTACATGAAGCTTTAGTTGGCCTTAGTGACCTGCTGAGACAACATCCTCCTGTTGTCCGCATAGGAAAGAGTTGCAGCCAGTGGGACCCAGCTGAAACTACCCTAGATCCCAATTTCTTCTTATCTTGATCTTTCCTTTCACCAGCTTTCCAAACAAGTATCAAGGGATAACAAATGTACCACACCACAAGCTCCAGGTTGAATTCCTGACTTCTCCAGCTAAAAGGATTGAGGAAAAGACCCTTGCCCGAGACTCTGGCAAGCTGGAGCTGTTTAGGGTAGAGAATAACTATTGAGCATCTAGGAAATTTTAGACCCTGGCCTTAATGGGAGCCCAAATATCACTTCAATTGTGAAGCACACAGTTAATAGTTATCATCTCCCTGCGCCCCAGTTCATCATTTTATGCTTTATTGCTTCTTCTGCTTTCCTGATATGCTACAGCAAAAGGAAGTGCAACAACAAAAACTCTCTTTTGCCAACCCTGATGAACACTCTGAGCATGTGCAGAGTTTCAAGCTTTTAACTCATTTAAGTCATGCCACCATTATGACTACCTGAATTAAAATGGGGCTCCAAATTTAGTCTCACTTAGAACAGACCCATTGAAATCCATGGAACTTGGGTCCCATGGATTTCATTGGGCCTGTGCTACGAACAAGTAAAGCTGGAATCCACCGGGGATTTGCTCCCACTGGCACATTTACTTGGGGATAACAACCACTTCATAGTAGAAACAGCTGATCTAGTTTTAAAATAATGAAACGTAAAATGAGCACTGGTGACCTGGTCTAGGCTTGCCTGGTTGGCCTCCCACTGACTACCATTTTTTAAAGGACGGAAGGGTGACCCGCACAGCCCGAGAGCTGGGTGGTTCTGGCAGGAGCAGGGCTGCAGGAATCCAGGTTCGCTCCAGGGTCCAGCCCTGCCCGCACGCTGGACAATCGGAGGACAGGCAAACCTGGTAGAGGAAAGCGTCCTTTGTCCCCGTGATTCTTCTTCTCACCTCCCCATGGGTCTGTTTGCCCTGGATCCATTGTCTGGAAGGGCTATCAGTGCTGCCTTGATGCACATCCAGAGCTTGGCGGCTTGTTTGCACACTGTGAGACCTCACCTGTCTTTCTCTCTCTTCACCTCGTGCAGGCGGACGCAGGAGCGCGTGTCTGTCCAACCTCATCGGTTACATCCCAGCTTTGAATTTGGCCATCAACTGCAGACTCCTCAAGCCATGGGCCCCCCTCCCAGATACTTAGCTGAGGGAACCGACTGGTAAGCTACTCATTTGCGAGCATTGCTGTGACCTGCAAATCTAACCTCTGCCCTGAGCTGCCTCCATCCAGTTTCCAGCACCGCACTTTCTCTGAGCGTGGAAGAGCCGTCTGTTGATCCATATCCTCTCTCCAAATCTCTCTCAAGGAGCACTTGAACCTACTTAATTGCACTTTGCTCGGTCTTCCTCAATCATCAGTTTCCCCCCAACTTATGTCTCAACCCCCCCTCACTCCATTGTTGCACTAACTCGTCTAGTGCAATGGAATGTAAAATCTCTGAGAACTTCTGAGATCTGAAAATCAAGTTTCTAGCCCTTATGGCTGTGCAGGGAAAAGTCAGGATCATGTGGCCATTGTCTGTTGGAAACCTAGGGGCAGTCCACCCATCCCTCCCTTAATAACTTCGCTATTAACCAGCCAACCAACCCTCCTTCCTTCCCTCCTGTCTGTCGTTCACTCATTCATTGGTTTATTCATTTTTAATCGAAAAGGAATAAATAGAGAATGGAATGCGAGGCTTAATTGTCTCCCTGCTGTTGGTGCTCTAAAGAATTCTAGGGCTCCCCAGACAAGGTTGGGGAGGACATGGGACCGCGTCCTTAGTAGCATCAACACGTGGATCCCTTTACACCAGATCAGGGAAAGCTGTAATGAAGTAGTACCATCATCCTTATCGTGACCTGATTGTCAAGTTTCTGTTCTGAGGAGAGCACAAGCGGCACGTTGGTGATGGAGGAAACACCAAGCAAGTGAGATGGAAAGGTTAGGGCCATCGCAGATGTATTAGTTTGTCTTCTCAGCACAGGATCTGAGTGTTTGGTGCAGAATCCAGAGCCCTTTTGCATCAATGGGATATCCGGGGGCATTCTGTACTCAGCCCGACAATGCAGAATTAAGGAACAAACTGCAGAACTCCCCGCCGTGCTGGAATGCAAGCCTTGCCCTGTTTTTGCAAGGATGGTGGAGAAGAAACCTGGAGCGGGCCCAGCTGCTTCTCTTTCCTCTCTGTTGCCCATGTGGTTAATGCAGATGACAAGGTAACTACGTGGCTGACTCACTTCACCCCAGGGCTCTTGTTCCTTCCCAGCAGCAAAGACAGCCATCCCTGCATTATCAGAGGGTTCAGCTTTTGTGCAGTCCTAAGCAGCATGGAAAGCAATCCCCTTTCTCAGTCATTTTTTGAAGATGGCTGTAAAACGGAGCCAAAGTGCCGGCCCATTCAGCCCGGAGGCTCTGCTGATTCACGGAACTTTGCTCACAACTTTGTGGACTTTGCTGTGCTTCTGATGTCCCACTGTGATGACCCCATCACACCTCCAGAGTGCCACTTGTGGGTGCAGTGGCACCAGCGGAGAGAGATCGGTTTCGACGTCCATCGTAGCTCCTTGCCCCGGCTGCTGTTCGGCGCCTGCGTTTGAGCCGTGGGGTCCTGATCAGGCAAGGCACCTCGCTCTCGATTTGAGGGCACTCAGGAAGAACCAAAACCACCTGCGTCAAAGAGGACACACAGTGTATCGAATGCAGGGGGAAATACGGATGCAAAATATAAATACGCCAAGGAATGCTTGCAGTCCCCTTCTCTGCAGCAGGCGGGCTCCCTGAAAGGGTCGGCGGATGCAGCGTAGGCTTCCATAGGTGGCTGGCCAAGCAAGGGGCTGGCTCCTCTCCGCAGGCCCAGAAGAAAGGCAGTTCCTCTTGCCACGGGTGTTCTACAGTTCTCCTCTCCCACGAGCATTCACATCCTGGGAATGAAGCTGTTTCAGGAAGGCAAGCAGTTGTGTCTTCCCAGCAAAGCAGGTCTTATCTGCAGAAGGGCTGGGGAAGGCGTCTCCAAGACCAGCAGCTCTGGGGCTCTGGTGGGGTGGTGGTTAGTGTGCTGGAGTGGGGCCTGGGAAGTCCGGGTTCTGCTTCCCTCTGGGCCATGGAGCTCACTGGGTCACCTGGCCAGTGACCGCCTCTCAGCCTAACCTACCTCACAGGGTTGTCATGAGATAACAACGGAGAGGAGGTGGCTCATGTCAGCTGCCTCGAGTTCCTTGCAAGAGGAAAAAGGCAGGATATAAATAGAATGGATGAATCAATGAAAATTTATTAGCTGGCAAAGAGGCGGAGTGAAGAAAGGCCGCTGCCAAGCCTTTCCCTTTAAAAGAAACCCCCTTTCCCGTAGGCAAAGGAATGCCTGACTTACGAGCAAGCCTGACTTTGTTCACCGTGGACCAGAAGGTCCTAGTTCTGGGGTGACGGGCTGCCCCCCAACCGGAGAAGGATTGTATTTTGGACGGAACAGGCAGCCCGGGTGGGGAAGCATGCAGGAGGGCAGGGCAGCGCCCAGAGCGCGACTTCTTTGGGGCCGCTGCTGCTCCCACCCTTTCCCCCCCTTTCCCTGGCACCGTCAGATTCCTCCTTCATGGTTACTTTGCCCTCATTCCTCCTCCCCTCCTCCTCCCCTCTTTGTCACTCAGCTCTGCTACTTCCCCTCTCTCTGTTTTGACGTGTTGTCACTCTGGCTGTGTTCTCCTTGTGTGTTTTCCCTCTGCTTGTGTGCTCCCTCCCTCCCTCCCTCCATGGGGGCTTCCAGATGAGGGTTTTAATGAGCAATTGCCCTGCCTCATTCATGGGATTTTATGCCCCCCCCCCCCATGATCAGCATCCATTTATAAGCCTCCAGCTTTTCCCACCGATCGGCTGGCATTTCCTCTTATGGCAGGAAATCCGTCAAGAAAGGAAAGGGGGAACGGTGTGCAAAGCTTTCCGAGCAGGAGCGCCAGGCGCAATCCCTCTCTGTTTGCATCCTCGGTGTGTGTGTGGGTGTGCAAGGGGGTGCACTCTCACCTCTGCCTTACACTTTGGTAAAGTTCCAGGGATGCTCCCAGCATTGCTGGCTTCCCTGAAAGCCCAAAGCCAAATCTGGCCTGCTACAGAGCAGTGCGGCTTTTTCACGACATGATCCCAAGTCACTTGCATAGGGATCCCCTGCAAGAAGATCCCCTGGAAAACAGTGGGGCAGAAGCAGCAGAAACAAAGGCAGGGAAAGAGAGTTGGAAAGTGTGGACGGTCCCTGCGTCGGGGGGACTTCATTTACCACGTTCGCCTCCTTGCAAGTCATGCGCAATCATGGCTTCTGCCTAAATATAATGAAAGGAGCAGATGGTCCGGATGAATTGTCTGGCCGAAACTGAGCTTGTTTGAAGGAAGAACAGGCTGAACTTTAAAAAGTGTGGCCCATAGAAGGACCTGTATCTGAAGGATAAGAAACACTGTACATTTCTTCCCTGCAGAAGAGTCGGAAGGCATTTCCAGTTTGTTTTTCTCCGCTGCCTCATTTTCCAAGTCTGATCTCCTGTTAGGTTTTGCCAGCAGGCAATGACCCTGCCCTGTTCCTTTCTCATGACACTGACTTACCCCAGATGCAGAACCGGTGCCACATAGACTGTCCTTTGATTTTACAAATGGTAGAAGATTAAAAATAAATGCACACCTCTACGCTGTTTCAACAGTTCAGGGAGTGTTCAGGACAAAACATTCTCCACCTGCAACTGAGTGTGAAGCTTTTATTTTCTTGTTTGTGAAGAAGTTCTAAATGTCGAACAGCTTGATGCTGTGGGAGGCAAAGAAGTGGATAGGGTAAAGTCAGGATAAAAGTCTGGACTGACATGTCTGACTGTACTTTTAAGGACACCTTGAGAGGCAGTGTGGGGCAATGGTCCGAGTCCTAGACTGGGACAGGGGCACTTAGCCATGGAGCTCACTGGGTGACTTTGGGCCAATCATGGACACTCAACCGAGTCTACCTCACAGGGTTGTTGTTGCAAATCAAAATGCATAAAAGAGGCCCAGAAAATTGGGGTGGATTAGAAACAGAATCCAGCCTAGTTCACTGATAGAGAACGACCTTGCAGGGGCAGTTCCAGCTTTGCAAGGCCTTCCACAACACTCCTCCACCAGGGTCTGATGGGTGGCTGCACCTCTGTGATCAGCACCGTGTAGGAGGCTGCCACCATTTCATTTCCCACAATACCCTGGGAGAGCAGTGAGGCATTGTGGGAAATTCACATGGCAGCTCCAAGACACATGGCATGCTGGGGGACAGGCACTGGACAGTGCCTAGTGTCCTGCTGGCATGGATCGTCTTGAATGGCCAAAAACAGGATATACATGGGTGGAGCTGGATCTTTTTGCTGGACTTGGACTGGGCATCCCTTCCAGTGAAGGGCACCTTCAAACCAGAGTCCCCATCAGCCCTTCCAGGAGAGGACTGACCTCTATAAAAGCAAATGCACGGATGCCGTTCGAGGGAGCCGTCTGCAGACACTGCCTCGGCACCTCGAAAGTAGGCTTGGTCAACCTTACGTGAAGCTGCACATCTTGGCACATCGGGCGCAAGGACTGGCGCCCACCGGAAGCAAGTGCATTTCTAACGGAGTGATTTTTGTTGTAGGCTCAATGGGAAAAGCAACCCTGCCTCCGTCAGCAGGGACGGCTGCGTGCTCGGTGCTAGGACGGCAGGCTGAGCTGGCCTCTTCCCCTCCGCGGCCCACGCGTGCTCTGCAAAGCCGTAGGCAGGAGCAGGCTATTCCCCCAGGGGAGCCTAGGCCAAGCCCGTTCCATTCACGCACCTGCCCTGTCCGTGGAGGAAACACGTGTGCTTGCTGAGGAGCCCTGTCCTCTCCCCGCAGCCTCAGAGCTCTTGCGGAGAAAACCAGCCCGTCATTCATACGTGGAGCAAAGAAACACGGGTGGCCCATCTCAGCCAGTCGGGCGGCCTTAGTTTCTGCCTGTCCGTCCTTATTGGGGGAAACCAGATGCTTTGCCCATCCGGGAGGCTGTTCTAACTTCTTGAACTTGCCTCTGTAAACTCGGGTCTGAGACCTTCCAGGGCCATCCTGTCCATATCCACCTGTGTGGAGGTTGTCATGCACAGAAATGGCCACTGACAGTGACAGTCTGCAGCAGAGGGCAAAGGTACACGGAGCATAATTTAAGCACGGGTGCCATACCCAGCAGGACCCCCTCCCCCCACATATTCAGGCAGGGACCAGAGAATACCATAACCCACACTCCACGGTTGTGCTTAAGTTGAATGTGGATCGCTGCCAAAATATGGGTTGTCATGTTGTCTGAACCCAGCCATATTAACAAACCATGGTTGTCAGCCATGAACAACCCAGAAAGAAAAACCACAGTCTGTTTTGGGGTTGTGACTAACAAACCATGGTTTGTTGGCATAGATAGGTTAAGATAGCACGATAACCCATGTTTTGGAAACAGGTGTGGGTGGTGTTAGAGTGTTGGGCTGGAAACCCAAGATTACAGTCCCCACTTGGCCATGAACCTCACTGGGTGACATTGAACTGGCCACTCATTCTCAGCCTAACCCGCCTTACAGGGCTGTTGTTATTGTTAGGATAAAAGGGAGGTAGGAAGACTAGATAAGGTGCCTTGGGTTCCTTGCAAGACCAAAAAAGGTGGGGTATAAATGCAAATGTACTATATCCCATGGTTCAAGGATGGCCTACACTCAACCCATACCTAACTCTTGAATGAGGGTTATCATGAACCCAGCCATACACCTGGCCAGTCAGCAGGGCCTGCCTGCTCGTGGGATCAGTTCAGAAGAGATAAAAGCTAAAACCCTGGGAGTCCAGTCCAAAGGAGAAGTGGCCATTTGAGAGCCAGGAATCACAGGGAAGTAGGAGCCATGGGTGCCAGTTGCTCACTGCAGAAGCAGCCATGTGTATCGGGTTGTGCGAAAGCAAGTGGCGCTCACTCGTATGATGTAATCAGTTCTGGTTTCATCCTTCCAGGGATCTCAGTGTCGATGCTGGACTGACTCACAACCAGTTCCAGGTCAGGCCAGTTCCGCAGCATTATCAGCATTACTTAGCTTCTCAAAGGATGCATCATTTCCCCCGGAACACGTCCTCAACGCAGATGGTAAGCCAGTGGGGTCTTGCTGGGGACCATATGAAGCCAGCTCTAGGATGGGTGGTAACTCATGTGACAAGCCCACAGCTCAGCGGGGGGGTCAAGGGGCCAGGTGGGGGTGTCTGAGTAATGGGTTTCAGCTGGCTGTTGATCTGGATTGACTCCTTCCGGGCCAAACATGAACTTGGATCCTCTCTCCAGTCAAAGTCCATACATTTGACCTACCTGCATACCTATACCTTGACCTAGCATAATGAGTCCCCTTTGCTAAGCTGGAAAGCCACAGGCTGTGCCTGGATGGGTGACCACAGAAGAAGGTAGAGCAGGAGGTTGGACTCCACAATCTTTTAGGCCCCTTCTGGTTCTACTGCTATTCTAATTCTAATTCTGTTTCCATTTCTGAGCTTGCTCTGTGATTCACGGACCCCTGAACATTTGTTCAACATCATGAAAAATGCACATAAAACACCCCTTTGAGAAACATGCATGAATATGCTTTAATCATAGAAGAAGAATGACTGCATTTCAAGAATGTACATGATTGATGCATCCGTTTGGGAAAATACACAAAGAGGGATGGGTTTTTGTGCAGCAAGAAAGCAGCAAAGCTTGCAGGCTGGCACGGACCCGAGTCAGAATGGCTTGAATTCTGCTGATTCACACACCCCCAGTCCCAGCTGGCAGCCCTTCCATCTCCAGTTAAATGGACGAGGAGGGGCTTCAGCCACAGAGCCAAGAGAGTCTGTACCTGTCTGAGAAGGCAGGTCGGAGAAGCCCATGACCCATGTGGGCTGGTTGTCTGGTTCACTATAATTTATTATTTTTTTAGGGTGCAATTCAGTGGCCTCCTGCTGTTTTCTGGGGTCCTGGGCATAGGATCGTGGAAGTCCTAGCTCTGAGATCCTGTGCCCTTGGAGCTGGGACTCTGAAGGCCAAGACCAGTTTGTGCATTCCTCCCCCCACAACAGCTGGCATGGAAAGGACATTGCTGGCTGCCTCCCCAAAATTCCTTGGGGGCGAGAAAGGGGGTGTGTGATGTCCAGGACCGAGAACTTACGCTGAATGGCACGGGCATCCCAGCCTCCTCCTATCCTTATCTTGATGGTCACAAACAGCTGCCTAGCTAAAAATCAGGGCATGGCGGTACAGCAGTGATGGAGATGGCCTGCTGTCACACCTTCCTCGGGGCATTGGATGCATGGACACCTCCAAGCTCAGAGGCTTACAAGCCTAGAGTGCTGGTGAGGCAGGATCTCACCCTCCGAGATTTCCCCCGGTTCCGCAGCCAAAAGGGCACCCAGAAGGACTTAGAAGTAATCAGCAAGAGAAGACAGTCCCCTGCCAGCACGCCGGCAATCTAAAAAAATGACACACAAGGAAAAGGAATAAGGAGGGCAGAGGGAGGAAATTAAATCTTTCTCCTGCTTATCTCCTTCAGCACTGCCTGCTAGATAAATAGATCTGCTGGACTTTCCTATTTCAAACCTGAGCGTGGATGGTTTGGAAGAGTAACACTGCTGAAATTCATATTCTCCAGTTTAGAAAAGCGAGCGTTGGGAGGGGCTCTTACCCGCTCAAATGTGAGATGGGGGCCCAGCTCATCACTCAGACTCACATCCCAATCCAGCCTTTTTCCTTGCTGCCCTGGTTGTGAGGCCTGGGGGGCGGGAATGGGGGGGGGGACTACTATGGTGAGCTATGCAGCAGGGACATTGGGAAACAGAGTTTTCCCAGGGCCACTGCCACAATCGCCTGGTGAGGATACACTTGCAAAGCCAGCCTGTTAGGGGAGGGCTAAACTAGAGCCATTGTCTTGAAATGTTAGGCTTCCCCATTGAGGTCTTTTAGTTTTGCTTGTTTGTTTTAATATGGGAGTGCGTTGAATCGCATGATTGCACCCTGGAAGTGGTACAGTCCAGGGATAGCTTTACCACACAGTCTGCTGTTTGCGTAGAGTCGCCTGCCTGGGAGAAGGCAGTCAAAACAGAGGTGTCTCTCACCTGGGTCACCTGCTTTCTAGTCAGGAGCCGGCTCAGGGGGAAGCATTCTGTCAGGATGGGGGAACTGCCAGCTTTCGCAAAAACCAGCGGCTGCAGCCTCAGCGGCCTTCCTCCACACACACCTGAAGAGACGTCCTTGTAGGACTGCACCCCGATATCTCTGTCGAAAAGTTTTTGGGTGCATTTTGGCAGCATTGCAGATACTAAGTTGCAAGACAATTTAGGAGGACGGCAATCCTATTCTTTGGTGCAGCTGTTTGAGTCCGCGGGTGTGAAAACTAACCCTTTAACATGGTTTCTCCACACTGCCTCACAGGTTGTTCATGAAATTAGGAACTACCCGTATCCTCAGCTTCAGCTCCTTGCTCTTCAGGGACTGAACCCAAACCGACACACATCTGCTGTGAGGGAAAGTTACGAAGTAAGTTTGCTCAGTGGATCACACATCCTTTTCCCTGTAACCCTTCCCTCTGCTTATTCGCTGAAACACTGTGTGTGATTAACTTTTTATTATTTTTTTCCAAAAATAATGAATGATTATGACCTGTAGTTGGTTGATTCAAGGCCTTCTCGCCCCCTTCTTAAAGTTATTTATGTTTAAATGAGCCCTGGACCCAACAGCCCTTCAGATAAGAGGAATGGCAGCGTGTCCTTCAATAGCCCTTCAAACTGAGGACTGTCGTTGTAAAGTAGGGCACATGGCTACCCAACCACAAACGGACCCACCTTGCCCAAAGAAGTGGGAGAATAATGTCTATTCCGAGGTGAATTCCAAATGGGAGTGAGCAAACTTTGCCTATTTTGAGGGTGTACTATAGATGTAAGATGGTTGCTTGCATCCAATTTACCAGTGTGGCGTAGTGGTTAAGAGCACGGGACTGGGACTCAGGCGATCCGGGTTCGAGTCCCCGCTCAGCCATGGAGCCAACTGGGTGGCTTTGGGCCAGTCGCAGACTCTCAGCCCAACCTACCTCACAGGGTGGTTGTTGTGGGGAGAAGATGGAGGAGGAGAATGATGTAAGCTGCCTTGAGCCCTTTGTAGGAAAAAGGCAGGATATAAATGGAAAAATAAATAACACTAGAGAGTCCTGATGGACCATTTATTAAATGGATTATAAATGAAATAATAATTAAAATAAATCAGCAAATAGCACTTGCGCACACTCACGTGCAAGCAGTTTCCCCAGGACACGGTCCCGTATCTGCAGCATTCATTTTCTGCATGCAACCCCTGGCAGCTCATGAGTTTTCTGGGGGATGGTTGTGTGGATTCCTCCATCCGGGTGCGTGACTTGATCTTGGAGGGAAGGGTGGCAGCTCACAGCGACAGAACAGCCGCTTTGCACGCAGAAAGTCCCGGATTTGATCCCTGGCATCTCTAGGCAGGGCTGGGAAGGGACACTTCCTGAAACCCTGCGCAACCAATCCTGCCAGCTGTTTTTATTACTATTAATTTATTTAAATTCTATACTGCCCATAGCTGAAGCTCTCTTGGCAGTTTACAACCAAGTATAAAAACAACAATAAACAATAGATAAAAGCACTAACCAGAATCAAAAATGAATTTAAAATGGCATGAATTAACATTAAAAGACAATAAAAAGACCCAACCAAGAATAAAAGAAAGGCACCTGGCTCATTGTGTCAGGCCCCTGAATGACCAGGGAGGTCTTGAAAGGCCTTTGCAAAGAGGGCTGGCTTAACTTGGCGCTGAAAAGATGGAACATTTGGCACCAGGAGGGCCGCAGCAGAGAGGTTGTTCCAAAGATGGGGGCCACCCCTGAAAAGCCCCCCCTCCCCAGTTGCCACCTTCTGAGTCCTTTGAGGGTTGGCACCCACAGGAAGGCCCCAGTGGCCGAGCATAGTATTGCTGGCAATACTGGCCTAGGAGAGCCATTTTAAGGGCTCTTCAGATCTGTTCCTCTTTAAGAGAACTATTGTATATGCTGTGTTCTCTTTCATAAAATTTCCCTTGATTAGAAGAAAATCTCAGTCGGGTCATCTGAAACTAAACCAGAATGCTTCAGTGACCACTGGTGGACCATTTAGCTTGTAGGCACTGGTCAGGTGTGTGAAGGTTTTCTGTTCATCACTTGCTGTTTATCCCCCCCCCCCCCAATTTAGGAGCTGTTACAACTGGAAGACAGGCTGGGCAGTGTGAACAGAGGGGCTGTGCAGAACACCATCGAACGGTTCACCTTCCCACACAAGTACAAGAAGGTAAGGGTTGGGAAGTGACACCTGTCTCTTGGAGAAGCTGCTTGGAGGGACCAGGTGCTGGGCTGGATGGAATTATGGCCCATCCAAGCAGGCAGAACTGAATTCCTGTGTCGCTCCCCTACCTGTACATTCTTCCCCATTCAGTTCAGTGGAGAAGCCAATCCTGAGCTGCCTTAGGATGGATGCTTGTGTGAAGATGCTTTGTCCACTGAACTGAATGGAGAAGCCAAACAAACAAAAAGTTCCCTTACCATGAAACAGGTTCAGCTGGGGAATATGGAAGATTAAAAATCTTTATGTCTAATTTTCTCAACTGAAGTTTTCATATACTTTCTTTGACATGTCAGAATGTGAAGCAATGCTCAAATTTTGGTAATTCAGGTTAATTTAAATTTAATCAATTAATTAAACTATGGATCACTTAAAAGACAGATGATTAATCAGTGCAAATTTATCTAATTCATTGTTAGCACTGTTCCATAAATTTATGGGTCTCCAGTAAGCGATGAATCCTAGCTATGGGGCTGTATTTAAAGACTAACATTGTAGCTGAATGAGATAAACATTTTTTTTTGTATTTGAAATCATGAGATATAAAACAATTACATTTTAGGGCTCTTTATATGTGATCTTTGAGGGCATCAAGCTTTATTCATTTCTATTAATTAAAAATAAAAAGTTGAGGCTGAAATCCTACACTCATTTACCTGGGAGTAAGAGCTATTAAACCATGTCATACTGTTGAGTACCTGTGTAGGGTTCTAATTTAAGGACCCCAAGCATTTTCCTAGAAGGAGGGAAGTAGAACAGAGACAACAATGAAGAAGAGAGGGCTGCCTTTCATACTTCCTGAATTCCCTCCTGTCCGGAGTTCATTCAATGTATTTTTGGAAGGCTGGAGTTGGGAGCAGAGTGGGTATCTTGCATATAGGCCAGGAAATGTCGACATGAATCCACTGCCCGTTTCCCCAGCAGTGGTAATTTAAGGGCCGCTCCTGCAAGCCCCCTTCCCTGTGGAGGAGCATGCGTGTGCTGGGAAGGAGGCTCCGCTGCGTTCACTCGGCCGGGCTTGCGTGGAGGGGCCAAGATGCGCAGACGTCCGGGTTGCCTCTTATGCCGAACGGGTATGGAACAGGCTGCAGGCTCAGAGTTCCTTTTTGGAATCCGCTGCACTGCCTTTGCTCCAAACCAAACTGCCCAGTTCAAGCCACTGAGCCTTCCCTTGGGTTGGCCTACCACATTTTGTACCCAGTGCTAATCCAAGTTACGTCCCATGCATTTGTAAATGGGTGACCTGCAACAGCAGGAGGCTGGACACTATGGCCTTTTTGGCCCCTTCCAACTCTCTATTCTAAGGTCGCAGTAGGACCGACACGGAATATAAACAGGTGTACTCCTGTTTTTCCTGTGAGTTTCGTAAGCAGGAAGAGCCCTTCTGGATTCATCTGTTCTGGCATTCCGTGGCTATTAACAGGTGACCAGAGACTTTGGAGAAACAGGCCTGTTCTTCATCCACAGCTTTGAATTTATGTAAATTCATTTAGCGATCATGGAGAAAACCTGATAGGCTCTCCTCTTCCTCTTCTGTGATTTTATTTATTTATTTAAAACTTTTATATGCCATCCCTTATGCATAGTATCTTAGGACGGCTCACAATGAATAAAATCAAATACATTAAAACAATCTAAACAATAAATAACGTATAACCAATAAAATGCGACTGTTGCATTAAAATACTAATTTTTAAAATAACGGTTAAATAAAAATATTTTGTCTAATATTTTAATACCGTTTGAGCAGGTGGCTATTACCACTTCTTGTGGATGCTTATTCCATGTATTAATGATACGTTGTGGGAAAAGGTCGTTCTGTTTTGTCTCTCCCACACCTCTCTGCCTGTCCTGAATCTGTTAAAATAACTTTCCCACTGGATGACCCTGAATTCTAATTTTCAGAGAGAATAAGAAGGGAGGAGGTCTCTCTCTCTACTTTTCTGCACTATCTGGCTTTGCTTTCTGTTTAAATGTAGAAACGTGGGCTAAATGGAAAGTGGGGAGCACGGCTTGGAAGGTTTGCTTTGATTATTTGCAGAGCCTCCCGGACTAACAGATGTCATCTTGTTAAGAGCAACGTCTGTTAATGCTGCGGCTTTCAAAAGAATCGGCAACGGCTTCGACACGGAGCCCGGGTCACCTTAAACTGCTTTGCTCCGGATGAGAGGGTGATCTGTACCTACAACCTCTCCTTTCCGCAGAGCCAAGCTGAGTGCTAATTCATCTTGGCAGCTGTTTTTTTATTTATTTATTTATTTATTTATTTATTTATTTATTTAAAACATTTTTATGCCGCCCCCATCGCAACAAAACCTCGGGGCGGCTCACAACAAAAACATGTTCCTATGTGGCCTTTTCTAATGGGCAGGTGTCCCTCACATGAATGTGTCCGATCAGGTGGTCCGAGAGCTGTTCTTCCTCCAAATTCACACACCCTTCTCTGCTGCTGAGTGGGCCCTTTTGTTAACGCAGCGATCTCTTTGACAGAGGAGACCGCAAGAAAGCAAAACAGAGAAGGAAACAGGGGAGGAGTCGGACACAGATGAGAAATGCACAATCTGCCTCTCAATGCTCGAAGACGGCGAGGATGTGAGGTATAATTATTCCCAAGGGGGCATTGTCTCTCTTGTATTTCTTCTCCCCCGCACCCCACAACCGCTATGCCAACATCCGCATCTCTTGGGAGTGCAATCCTATGATATTCGGGCAGAAAAACGCCCTGGAACTCTTTGAGATTCTTCGGGCTTTTTCCTGTGCAAACATGTATAAGATGATGCCCTTGAGATGCTTTTCTGAAAAGCAAGGCAAAAAAAAAAGTGCAAAACAACTTACAACAGTATTAAAATGTAAGTTTTAATAAAATGGATCAAAAATGTAAAACAATGTAAAACGACACACACGGTTTTCAGTAAAATGCCACAGCCTTACCCCTTCCCGAACGGGCATCCAATTGCTTCCCTACGCAGATGAATCTGGATCTGTCAGGCCGTTTTCTCACTCGTGCAGCTGACAAAGCAGGTGTGGCTTTGCAGCGAGTATAAAGTCTACCTCCCCATGTTCCCTCTTTTCTCAGCAAGAAGCCCACCAATCACTCCCAAGCATAATGAGAGGAATGCAAGGCCTGCCAGCTCAGCCTCCTGTTTTGTTTATCAATCATTATTAATTTTTGCTCCATGAGGACTAGTAACATGTGTTTTAAAAGTAGAAAAACTGGCATTCTATTTATACACGCTTGACTTGCTCATGTAATAGTATATCAGATTACACACCCCTAAAATAGCAGCCATTCATAAAGCATGTGTGGCTAAGTCAAGGTATTTTCCCTTCTTGTTTCTCCTCCATATAGGGAAGCATTTTGGAGGCTGTTTGTACACTTTGGCATCATCCTTGTTCCGCCTGCCCACTTCTGCTGGCAGGTGAGCCCAGCTCCATTCCTGCTGGGCCTAGAGAACAGCAAGGCAGGAAGAGAGAAAGGGTAGCAAGAGTAAGAAAGCACACAACACCCTAATTTCTCACAATGCTCTTGAGGTGGCGTTGCTGCGAGGCATTGTGGGAAATTTAAATGCCAGTCCTCAGATGGAGCAACCCTTTTAAAGGGGAGCCCAGGAGGCACTGGCAGGGTGTGTTGCATAGATTCTTGGGCACTAGCCATTGCCCAAAGTTCCAGGTGCCGGCGCCGGTCCCAGCGCCGTTTACAAAGAGCTTGCCGTTCTGTCTTCCAGGCGCCTACCTTGTATGCATCTCTTTCACCAAGTGTGTGTGGATCAGTGGTTAGCGACCAGCAAGAAATGCCCCATTTGCCGAGTGGACATTGAAACACAACTGGGATCCGACAGCTGAAATAAGCCAACTGGGGGATGCATCCTCTCTTTCGGGTCCTTATCGGGGCACGTGGCCCTTGCAGCAAAATGTTTGCCTTCTGAGCCATTTGATTTTTTGAAGAAAGCCTGCAAGCACATTCACAGATTATTTAAAAAAATAAAAATAGAAGAAGAGGAGGAAGAAGGAGAAGGAGAAGAAATGTGAGACGATGATGAGTTGGTGGCTATAATGCCCAGAGGTAGGAGGAGTTCCAGGCGGCCACCTTGGCTGGAATGCATGGGAACGCGGCTAGAACGCCCAGTGGAAAGTGTTAGTTGTGCGAATGAAGGTGCAAAGTGTTCTAGTTATGGCCTCTCAATCCTGCTTCTCGAAAGGATTGTATATATATATACCTCTTGAATAAGTAGAAACGCATTAGGGGTTCTTTAGCTATTTCTTTGGATGGCTGCTGAGCATGTTCGCTTAAGAGATGTCGTCTTTTGATACCCCGTCACCTTGTGGTGAATATGTTGCTGTTTCCTAATCTGCACCAAACATTGCATTGGGTTTTTTATTAGTATTATTTTCGTTTTCCCATCAGGTTCCTTACTTTGGTGCCTGGCTAAAACTTTAGAAGAAGAATATATATAAAAACACAGAAGTGGGTCAATTCTTTCCTTGCTCTGATGGAAAGAGAAAAATCTTGTTTACATTGGGAAAACAAGAATATTGCTTCCCCCTTTTCCTTTAGCAGCATTTTTTGACTTGGAGACAAGTTTGCAGTGAGATGGAAAGTTAAAGAAAATGGGGAAAGGAGTGAATTGGAAGGGAATTTGGGGTGGGGTGAGGAAGAAGAGCAGAATTCTCCTTCCTGCTGATCTGCTAGTGCTGAATACGTAGTGTGGGACACCTTGTTTGGTTGACGCTGACTTCCATCTCTTGGATCTGAATGATGGATCTTCCAAGGAAGGGCTAGACTTTTGGCCTGTTCCACAGATCTGACCATAAGTCCACCGACAGAAAAGACTGATGGAATAGGATGAGTCGGATGCTTTCAGTTTCCAGCAATGGAACCACTGCTTACAAAGAAAATGGTGGCCACTCAGTTGGGGAAGTGCTAGCCAGTAGGCCCTGGGTTTTCCTTCTCTTCTTCAGTGGGTGATTTTTAGTCTTGGAGGGCAATTTTGCCAGTACATCATGTGACTGGGAGAAGGAAGCAGTTTTAACCTGTGCATGTGTTGGATGGGTATTTAAGCTGCCAGTTATGTTACGGCCACCAGCTGGGAGATGAGTCTGAACAGGCCTTGAGAAATGGATTCTGCCTTCTCTTGACAACGAATAAGCACAAGTCTCATTCTCCAAAGCATCATGAATGGGACCAAAAGGCCATATCTTGCCTGTTCTTTCTACCTTAAATTCCTAATGTTGTAGAAAAGCAAACTGGGAAATTATCCACCAAAACCCATAAACTCTTCCAGAGCTGTTTCTCCATCTTACTGTTGCAGTATCCCAGAGAGGGAAGGACTGACTAAGTGAAGCATCCTCTTTCCTTTCTTCTAGATCATTGCAATGTAAATCTTGCATTTTAGGAGAATTTTAAACATGCTTGCAAGACAGAAAGGATTAGAGCTGAAGAGGAATTCAACAATGCTTATTTTAAGCTGCTTTGTTTTGGCTGTTCTTCTGATAGAACCCCATAGCTGCAAGTAGTGATGCAATCGAAAGCAAACGATAGTTGAGTCCAGTGTACACCGCAAAATGTTTTGACAATCGGAATATTTTGGCAATGAGAGGTTATTAGGTGTCTGAAAAATGATATAATGGTGCACTGATCTGGGAAGAAAAATGCAAATGAACATAAAGTCAAACTATATGCCATGGTTGAGCTTAACAATGTGAAAGTGATCTCACACACAAACATGATGTTCTGAAACTGGCTTAAGCCATCATCTGCACACATTGGCTGGGTTCACACATCATGACAACAACCCTGAGTGGTTTCCATGTCACGTGATTTTTTTGCTTGGATGTCCCTGAAAGACGATCAAGTGATTTCTGCTCTAGTGTGCTTTCTGCTCTCCTCATTCAGTCCCCCTGCGCTTGGTATGTATCCCATCAGTCACTGCACCTGAAATTCAAATTCAATGGCCAAAGCAGCTCGGACAGCAGCAGCTGCTCTTTCCAGGAGACTCAGTGGTAGCACCATGGAAACCATGATGCCAGGTTCAGATGACCAGAGAAACCATGGTGAAGCATGGAAACCATAAAACAGACAATGGTTTCTTATAGTGGCTTGTAAAAAAGCAAGCGTGCCATGGTAAAATACCATGACAGGGTTTGGACAGCCCGACAGGCCATTCTACGAGAAACTACGGTGGCTTGCTTGCCGTGGCATGGAAGTCTGCCCACTAGCTAGATAATATGGGGCCATCTTGCCCAATACTGTTGATGCTAGGGATGTGGGGTGAATCTGTTTTGAGGGTGGGGATCTGTTGGATTTCCTGGCCTCAGCTCCCTGGACTTTAGGAGTCAAGTCCTGCACACCACTGCACAAGCACCGCCCCTTTTCTGTGCATGTGATTTGCGACCTCTGTGCTGCACATGATGCAGAAGGTTGTGCATTGGTATTTGGTGTGCATTTGGTATTTGTTGTGCTGCATTTCTGGACTTCCTCCTCACTCGGCTCACTTTCTGAGGTGGGTCAGCACTGGAGGAAGTCCACTCACGGACAAGGAACCGATTCCATGGAGCTCCATCTCAAGAAGAGCAACACTGCTGGCTGCTGTTCTCCAGGGTCTCATGTAGGAGCTTTTCCGGCTCCCCCTGGAGATTCCAGGGATTCAACCAGGGACCTTCCACATGCAATGTAGGGCTCTGCCACGGAGCCACAGGCAACCCTCAGCTCAGCCCCCTTCCTAGATTAGATGGGGAGTCGTGGGGAGTTTCCAGTGGCGTCCTCGCACTAGCGCTAATGACCTTGTGCTAGCCAATGCGAGTGCAACCTCATTAGTGCTCACAGTGGGATGCTGTTGGATGCTACCTAATGAGCAGAGAGCATAGCCAGGTGAACAGAGCTGAAATCCAGCCAGTTGTCTCTTTGGGAGAGGAAGTAGGTGCAATTCCATCCTTCCCACTCCTTGCCAGACGGCTGACCAGCAGAAGTTTAGCTTGCCTTTTTGCCATCCAGGTAGCCCAACTGCTGCACAAGCTCTGTTGAATTGTGCATCTTCATTTAAAGAGGTCTGAAACCAGTTTAACAGCTGCTGTTTCTCCCCAGATGAAGTTGCTTTGCGTGTGTGTCAAGAATTCTTGGAAAGAGATTGCCCTGCTGATTTCCACCGAGTGGAAACTGTGGACACATTAATTGGGAGTGTGGATCATGGAACTGGGCTAGGAACTGGCAAGCATCTGCTGCCTGAACATGCATTTAGTCTTTAAACTACGCTTCCCTGTCCTGGTACTGTGCAGTTGTGTTGGGCTCCATTCTTCTGGCCGTGCTGCTAGGAACATCAGGGCTCATGGTGCCACAGGTCTGGGGGGCATCAGGTGGGGAAAATCCACGTTAAACATGGTCCGCTATCATCAGGCGAATCTTTCTGAGGGTCCAGCAAGAAGAGGGGGCGAGGACCAGTTTGTGCGATCATTTTAATGGGCTGAATTCACTGCGGGGATTTAGAATGAGGGATGCATTTGCTCATCTGTTGCCATTTATATGTAAACCTGGTCAAAGAGCAATCTCTTTCTGCTTGCTCTGAGCACATCCGTGCTCTGAAGGGATCACTAGACACATAGTTCATTAAGGGTAGAACAGTTCCTGGACTGTACCACTGCAGATACCAGGGGAGGGACTGCAGGAAGAAAACAGAGGGAAGGGTGTGTGTGTATGTTTCTATTTCAGCTACAAGTGCCATTCTTTATTTAGCCAGAATAACATTGCCCAAGCAAAAAATAATAGAATAAAAAATTTAAAAGGGAGGCTGGCAGACAAGGTTTGTAAGAGTTTTTTTTTTTTTTGTAAGGAGAACCCAAAGGAAGGAAGAGTCCACTGAGGTCTGGGCATGCTCAGAGGTGACAGGATGCAGCCTCTTGCAGTTGTGGGGGAAATGGAAAATGCAGCAGGGGACTGACTGCAGTGCTTCGAGTCTTGAAAAACTGCACTCACATGGCAACACAAGGTTGTGTGTATGCCATGGGTGTATAAACAAAACTCCCTGCACAGAGAACTCTGGACATCAGAAACGTTCTAAGTGAGCCTTCCCCAGCATGCTAGGTTCTCGTTTATTCCCCCCACCTTTTTAGAGTGGGGGTTGTATGGACAGCCCCCCCCCCACAAAAAGCAATCAGCTATGCTCACCTGTGGCCTAAGGTTCAGGGCGCTAGGCGGGCCACTCCTATGTCAGCGCGGCTCCTTTTCCATTGCAGCTTTTCTCTCGAATTTTAGGAGATCAGCACCTGGCATTTAGGAGCTGTCCAGGTGCTGATCTCCAGCCGCAGTATGGAGGCCATCCAGGAGCACCATGGCGAGCTCTGACAAAGCTGCGATGGAGCAAGAGCCTCGCAGACCTAGAAGCCCCCCATGTTCCTTGCATTTCAGGTACAGCTTGGCAACTGACAACCCCTGGATCTGAAAAAGCTGGTAAGACTTCACTGTTGAATGGCTTAATTATTAGAGAAGCCAATCACATATTTAACTGGAGAAAAAGCTGCTCCTCGTTAATGAGGGAGCAGGTGCTACAACCAGGTAGTCATTGCAGAACAAAAAACTAAAAAGTACAGGCAGCCTAAGGGTCCATCTTTTTCTCAGTGTGTATCAGAGGTAGGAGTGCCCCTTCTTCTAAGGCAGCATCTACTGCCAAGTGTGAGGTTTGGAAAGCATTCTAATTATTTCATTCATACATGGATGATGCAAATTTCAATGAAGAACCTACCGGTCATCTGAAAATCTGACATTCAAGGCAGGGCATGTAAGGGAACTGCAGTACGACCCAAAATGCATAGATCAGTGTAGAAACTAGAGCCACGTCCTTGGGATTGGCGAAAAAGGCAGCCGTCTCTGCTGTTGCTGGCACTTGCCTTCGCTCTAGGCAGCTGACAACGGCCATCCAGTTTAGTGCCAGGGGCGGGGAGGGGACGAGGCTGGGGTGCTGCTTGGAGTCTGCCCATGGCTTCCTCCCTTACCTGGCATGTGCTCTTCCCCTGCTCCAGGCCCAGTCGCATCCCAATGGAGGCATTTCTCTCCACAACAGCAGCAAGGGGAGAGGATGTGGATTCAGTCTTGGGAACACGGGCACCAAGATCAAAGCGTCCGCGGTGTTCAGACTCTGAAATATTCTGTAGTCTCCCAGACAATATGGGGGATCATGGAATTGTGCCCTAGGAGTATTTTCCTCCTCAAAAGAAAAACGTCCTTCAGCATCCAGCTTTCCCCAACCAACATGGCTAGGAGTTATGGATAGGACTTAGGCCCCAAGGATACCAAAGCAACAGAGCTCTTGGGATATGGTTGTAGGACAAAGAGACTTTTGTCCTCTTGAAATAATAAGTATTTCAATCTCATGTGCCAGAAGGGGCAGTCCTGTAAGTGATTGTGCATTTTCCAGTCGTTTTTGTCTGAAGCCCTCTGGAGAAGCAAAATAAATAAGCTGAAATATACTGACTTTCATACATTGTTAATGCTCCAAGATAACAAAGGAAAAGGACCCCCACCCCCAACCACTGCAAAAAAGGCATGTTTACAAATACAAGCCAGAACCAGTAATGGAAATATTTCTTATTTTTGTTATTAATATTACATGTCCTTTAGGCCCCACTTTTCTACCTCCTGAAAGGAGCCCAAGGCAGCTTGAAAGGTTTCCCTTTGGTTTTACCCTCATAACAACAACAGCCCTGTGAGGTAGGTTGGGCTGAGAGTCTGTGGCTGGCGCAGTCTCCCAGGGAGCTCCATGGCTGAGTGGGGACTGGAACCCACAACTCCAGGGCCTGGTCCCACACTCTGGCCACTTGCCACACTGCTCTCTTGGTCTTTTTGGGTGGGTTTATCCTAAATGCAGCCCTCCTTGCCTTTCTGCACCCCTTTCCAAGCACTGCACTTCACCTCTTCATAGGTCCTTTGAGGGGAAGGGCTATTGGAGCCGTCAACGTGCTGATACATGTTCTGCAATCTCACCGCGGCTCAGCGACTGGCTAGTGGCAACTTACATAAACAAGCTGAAAGCAGAGCCCTTTCAATTCCATCTGCCACGGTACTGTGACTTCCCAGCAGCCCCACCAATGGCCAGGGGAGGGGGCTTGCAGAGAGCCAACCAACAGTCAGGTTGCTTTAGGTCCCTTGGGTTTCATTCCCTGGGTTTTGGTGGTTGTTCCTGTCACTTCTGGACAGACTTGTGTAACTCCTGTTTTCTAGTAAGTGCTTATGTGTATTGCCCGAATTTAACATCTTACTCAAGTTCTTGGAACAGCGCTTGTGGCCCTCAAATTGTATTACGACTGAGATCCCTAATCTGGGCACAGGGAGAAGGCAAGTAGTGAGAAATGATGAATGGGTGGCGTGGAAGTGGGCAGAAACAGGTATGGGAGGCCCCCCCCTTCCTCCATGAGGAGTCTTCTTGGAAGGGAAGAGCAGTGGGACGCCATTGTTACGCATCCCTCTCTCTGCCTTGCCTTCCCCCATCTTTCCCTGGGCAGAAAGAGGGGAAGAGGGCAGGGCCGTCTTAACAGCATTACTGGCCCCGGGCAAAGCAGTGCACTGGGGCCCCTACGACAACTACAACTACTGTTAATTTTGGAAGTTTTCCAATTTTCCAAGGGTTAACATGCACAGATTAGTTTGGGGCCCAGGGGCACGTGCCCATCAGGCCCCTGCGTTCAGACGGCCCTGGAAGAGGGTCTT